GGAGAAGAAGAAGAGTTTTTTGTTTGTTTGTTTGTTTGTTCGTCTGTCTTTGTTTTTTTTAAGGGGAAGAGCATTTCTTATGGCTGTCCGACGTTGCCCTGATCCATTTTCTGTAATTGTTTTTGTTTTGTTTCTTTGTTGGCTGTTGTTTCCCAGTCGTGATTTCCTAACTCTTTTTCGCCAGTAAAGCCTCGGTATAACGTACCTGGCTTAAAATGTACTACCGACTCTAACATTTACTTTCTGAAGCCGTTAGTCCCTTCTAGCATTTTTACTCTTTTCAGTTGATATTATGTAGGCCTACCTTGGCTGAGACGTTCACAATCTTGGGTCCGATCAAGGAGTATCACGGGTTGACTCTACGTTGTTTCGATATTATGGACCCTGATTTTTTTCTTCTTTAAAAAAAAGATTTAAATCTGCCATTTGACTTTATCACCAGAAAGATCGTTCCTCTGCTGTTCGTTTTCAGTTTGATATTACTAACGGCTTTTATTTGTGTCTGTTCTAAGACCCGAATTGACCACCAAGACTGACCAGTATACTTGTATGTGTCTCTGTCTCGACACCAAGAATGACCAGTTAACTTGTATGCATGTCTCTCTCCCGACAGATCATCTTTGCGGACGAGTGCACAGAGGCAGAGGGCAGCAGCTGGCACATGAAACACTTCTGTTGCCTGGAGTGTGACCGCCAGCTGGGGGGTCAGAGGTACATCATGCGCGAGGGCCGGCCCTACTGCTGCTCGTGCTACGAGAACATGTTCGCCGAGTACTGCGACACATGCGGCGAGCACATCGGCGTGGACCAGGGACAGATGACGCACGACGGGCAACATTGGCACGCCTCTGAGACCTGTTTCCGCTGCCACACCTGCCAGACCAGTCTGCTGGGCCGGCCTTTCTTGCCCAAGCACGGGGTGATTTACTGCTCCGCGGCATGTAGCAGGGCGGGCTCCATGACGACGCAGACACCACGAAGGCCAGAGGATTATCTGGTGAACATGCAGGAGGCTAGAGTTAGCTCCCCTGTGAGTCACGTGATGCAGGAAGGCCGGGCTGGGATACAGGAAGTGCTGAGACAGCAGTATACATTGCCGGATAGTCTCCCTTCTTCAGATCGTGACCAGGGTTATGCTACAAGCAGTAACAGTGAGGTGTACGCTCCTGGTATGTTTGAGGTGCACGCTGAGGCGGGGACAGAGGGGGAGGAGGAGGAGGAGGAGCCTGTCTACACACTCAACGTTGACGGACTGGTGGACGCACTGCCTCTACAGGAAGCCAAGCGGCGGAATCGGCTGTCCCAGTTTTCCATGCCGGACTTGAGTCAGGGCGAGCCTGAGCTGGAGGCGGAGTCAACGGCCGGACAATCTGAACACAACAGCGACCCATTGAGTCCCAGTAACAACAGCCAGCCCAGTCAGTCTGGGTCGGAGAAGAATATGAGCGTACATTATGCCTCGGTGAGCGTGCCCCATCACTACCCAGCCGACGACCCCAACACTCTCATGTCTCCGGCAGCCATGATGATCATGCACCCGAGTAACGGTCACCACTACCACCACCACCATCATCACCACCACCAGCAGCAACATCAGGAGATGCTACGACAACACAGCTTCCACCACCACAACAACAACCACCATATGGTCGACCCACACTTGAACGGGTTTCATCACCAAAACATGACAGGTTTTCCGCTTCAGCAAGGAGGTCACCCAGTGTATCGCCAAGCCACTCCAGCTTCAGTGAGGTCCTACCCTGAGTTGCCAAACACCCGGATCTCCGAGCCGAGGGAGCCTCTTGTTCTCCCGGATTCAGCGAGACCACCTCTTCCCCTCCCACGCAACGCGGCCGGTATACCTCTCCCAGACAGCACCAAGATGAACCCAATCACCCGACCGCCCAGCGGGCAGGCTCGAAGCCCTAGACCCAATGGTTGCCCCCGTAGTCAGAGCTTTGAAGGTCGCCCCGGCAGCACCTCGGCTCAGAGCGGGTCCAACATGAGCAGCTCGCGTTCCCATGGCAGCAGCAGCCACAGCAACCACCATCACAACCACCACAGCCACCAGTCATCGCATCAGCACAGCAACAAGGCTGGGGCCACCAAGACTCAGCAGCGCCCACCAGTGCTGGATAGCTCTGCAGCTGACCGGTTTATGTTCGGAAATTTTGACGACGACAGATGCAGCACCTGCTCTAGTTCCACCGACTCTGATGAGTTTGACTATTATTATCACTTGTCGCCTCGCGCCAGTAACAAAATCTCTTATGTGGACGACATGGGCATTGGTGGCACTGCTAGGAACCATTCTTCAGTCCAGGGCAGGAGTCGCCGGCATCGACAGAAAAACAAACAGTGCACCATTCAGTGACATATGCGTTCCTTTGAGAACTGTACATCTCTTCATTTCACCGTGTATATATATATATATATACACTATATAAGCATTTTGAAAATCTACCCACAGTGTCTGGTGTAAAGGTAAGGCTCTTTTCCCTGTTGCGTGTGACAGTATGAGTTCGATTCCTCTGTGGGGAAGTTATTTCATCGAATATCTCCATCTGCCTGTGAGGGTGATGTATTCCACTCATCTGGAGTTGGCCCAGACAGTCAGGCTGAAGCAACCCACCTCCTGAATGATCTGAACTGTGTTGAGGAGTGTGTTCCACTTACAGTCAATCGCCCTCCCACCAAGGCTTGTGTGAGACAGGAGGAGATGCTGAAATAATACTCAGTGTGTACTCATCCAAATGTCTTTTTTGTGTTTTGAACTTCGTTGCAGGTGACACGGATCTCTTGCTTGTCTTTTCTTGTGATACGGAGTTTGTTCTGGTGTGCAAGTGTGTGACATTTGCTTAGCTTTAGCTTGCTACACAGACCCTATCCCAGCGCATTATGATGCCCTTGTGATACAAAGGTGTACAAAATATCCTCAAACTTAATGTCAGTGGTGTACCATACTTTTTTTTTCGGGTGTACCATACTTCTTCTGGTATCACACACGCTGCAAGTGATTCTCTGTTGTTAAAGTGCACTCAAATTTGACTGGTCTTTGGAATACAAACAGGTTCACAAATTAATTGTGTGATTGTCTTGTCATATGTTAATAATTTCAGTACCTACAGTAAAATGGCTCCCTGTTGTGTAAATATGATTAATATGATAAATCTGTTTGATTTATTCAGCTTCTTCTGCTTCTAGTTGCTGTGGTGGATAGCATTGTAGCCCAAGCCTCTCTGTATAGCTAGGAAGCGCATCAATGTGATCGTTTGTATCTGAGCTGGCCAATTGCCCTGTGTCGTTTGTTCTGTGGTAGTTTCAATGCAAACGACTTTTTGACAGTCTGCTCATTTTCTTACAAAAGTAGGCAGGAAAGTGAACAGACTCTGGTCTTAGCTCGTTGATGTTGCTAAGTCTAGTTGTTGGTACTTTCTGTTGTTTGTACTTTTCTTTAAGGCAAGTCATCTTTGTGTAGTCGTAGGTCAAAATGTGTGCTAGTAATTTTGAGACTGTTGGAATGTTTTAAAGTTTGTTTTTGGGAGGGAGGGGGGATCCAGGGATGGTCATGTGATAAGCTGAATCATTTTTTTCTTTAAATCTGTACAAAACTAGGCAAAAGGAGAAGTTCTACGTTTGTTTGCTTTTTGGTTTTAACATGATTGACCCATTCTTTTATGTTGACAGTAGGCTACTTGCAAATCTATGCTTATGAAATCTAACTGAAGTCAAACGTACTGCTGATTCTTTTTTTGCTAGTGATACATGCTCTGCTTTGAGTCTGGAATGTAGTACCATTGTAAGAAAGAATACCATGATTATTCTAAAACCTGAAATAGATTCTCTTGGTCTATGTTCTTAGAATCAGTTTTTCCCTGGATGTGAAGACAAATCTTCACATGCTTGAACTATTAATGTACTTGTACATTTGATGTGTATAATATGTTCAGATTTCATGATGTGTATAATATGTTCATATATGAATATTTCATACCCAATGTTGTAATAATGCATCCAAAACCAGACCACATTTTCTCATGTAATGTACAATGCCTGGCCTCAGCTAGCTTATGAGTACATAATCATCCTAGGACTTTGTGCAATATTATGAGCTGAATTTTGGGTTACAGTGGTGATGCATATATATATATATATATACACA